CGAGGACCTATCATGTTGGTATGACTTCTCCATCACCGAACCCTGCGATGACAGTGAAGAGATTATTAAAAAGGAAAAATTGCTTCAAGGCCCCAAATTCTAAAAACCAATGTGCCCCAGCTCCTCCTATTTTTATCAATGTGCTGTAGCCCCTGCTTTTTGAAAAAATTATGCTCAGCCCCCCTCCAGCTCATGTCAGCTCATGATTAGACAAAAATCCACCTAAAATCCTAATTTTACCATCTTCTCTTTCTCATGCCAGCTCGTGTTAACTGTTATAGTTAACATGTTAACTATTACTGTTAACATGTTAAGTGTTATAGTTAAGATGTTAACTATTTAAGATGTTAACTATTATAGTTAACATCTTAACTAATGTTAACTATAATGGTTAACATGTTAACTATAATGGTTAATATGTTAACCATTATAGTTAACATGTTAACCATTATAGTTAACATATTAACTATTATATATAAACTGATAACTATTATAGTTAACATGTTAACTATTATATATAAACTGATAACTATTATAGTTAACATGTTAACTCTTATATATAAATAACAGTTAACATGTTACGTATAACAATTAACATGTTACATAACGCAATCAATATAAATGGTAAGTTTATAACAATAAAAACATAATACAATCAACCAATCTCTTTCTCTTCATCTCTTCCCAATAACACCAACATCTAAAAGCAAATTAAAGTAAAAACCACAAAGCAACATCAAACTTCACAAAAAACCCAAAAATTAAAAAAAAACCCAACCCCCCAAAAAATCCCCAAGACCTCAAGCGCTCGGGGCGTTCAGGTTGCTCCCCATCGCTTGGAGCTGCTTCGAGGCGGACCACGACCGGGAGACGCTCCACGAGAGCGACCTGAAGTGCCCCCTCCTCGGCCCCTTTGGGGCGACGCTCGCGGACCTAGTCGATGCCGTCGCGGACGGCGTTGCAGACATCGAGGGCCTTGACGGCGCGGTCAATAAGGTCCTTGGAGAGGAGGGGCCTGGGTTGAAGAGGACGACGTGGAACTCCTCCTGGCAGAGGAGGAAGGTGGCGGACCCAGGAGAGGGAGATGAGTTCTTGGGAAGAAGGAGACGGAGGAGGAAGTTGAGGAAGAAGAAGTGTGATTTTGGGGGAGATGACAGTGATTTTAGGGAGGGGTAAAATTGGGTTTTTGGGAAAACATGAGCTGGAGTCATGATGGAGGGGCTTGGGCAAACTTTTTCAAAATTTTGGGGCTGCAGCACATTACAAATAATGTGAGGGGCTGGGGCACATGACTTTTTGGGTTTTGAGGCATTGAAGCAAATTTTCCTATTAAAAATATTAAAAGTAATGTTTACCTCTCATTACTTTTAGGGCCTGTTTGGTTGGTTTCCTAAAATCAAAGAAAAGGAAATCGGTACAAGGAAATCAATAAAATAATATTTTTATCAATTTTCATCCCTAAAACTCACCCATAACATCCAATAAAATATTATTTTTATCCTCCAACTCATCACATTTCATCTCCTTTCTTACCTTTAAGGGCCTGTTTGGTTATTTCCTAAAAAACCAAAAAATAGAAATGAAAACTAAGAAATCTCAAAAAGTACAATTTTACACATTTTCATCACTAAAACTCACCCACAACACCTAATAAAATATTATTTTTATCCAACAATTCATCCACCACATCTAATAAAATATTATTTTCATCCAACAACTCATTCATCACATCCACCACATCTAATAAAATATTATTTTCATCCACAACATCACTCAACTCATCTCATCTCATATTTAAAAATCACTCACATCATCCAATAAGATTGTGACAACTCATCTCATCTCATTAACATTTTATTTCTTTGTTTTCCTCCCAAAAAGCTAGAAAAATAATTTCCTTAAGTGTGAGTCACATCATCCAATAATATAATGACAACTCATCTCATCTCATCTATTTTCTTATTTTTAAGAAATAACCAAACAAAAGAAAACAACATATTACAAGAAATAGGTTTTTTATAATTCATTTTCTTATTTTTTCCGCCAACCAAACAAAATCAAAACAAGTTTTCTTAAAAAATCACTCATATCATCCTATAATAAGGTGACAACTCATCTCATCTCATCTTCATTTCTTTGATTTTCTTCTTTTTTTAGCCAACCAAACAATCCCAAAACCTATTTTTCTTAGAAATATGTTTCCTTTTCTTTGATTTCCCTCTTTTTTTAGGCAAACAAACAGCCCCTAAAAATAAACCAAACACAAGAAATGTGTCACATCATCCAACTCATAACATCTCATCTTATCTCATTTTTAAAAATCACACACATCATCCAATAATATTGTGACAACTCATCTCATCTTATTAAACCTTTCTTTCCATCCATTTCCTCAACAAAAAAAAAAAACAAGAAATTGATTTCCTTAAGTATGTGTCACATCATCCAATAATATACCTCTAACTCATCTCATCTCATCTATTTTCTTATTTTTTAAAATGAACCAAACACAAGCAACCTCAAAATATCATCCAATAATATACCTCTAATTCATTTCCTTATTTTTTTTAACCAACCAAACAGCCTCAAAACAATTTTTTTAAAAAAATCACTCACATCATCCAATAATAAGGTGACAACTCATCTCATCTCATATCCTATTCTATAATTTCCTTCTTTTTTAAACCAACCAAACAACCTCAAAACAATTATTATAAAAAATAGGTTTCTTATTCTTTGATTTCCCAAATTTTTTTGCGAAACAAACAGCCCCTTAGTCCTTCTAAACTAACTATTTACTACTTGTACTCGTCGGTACGATGGAAAGGGACTGCTAGCATGAATCACAAGTCATATCTTTCTCCGAACTTTTTATATGAACCCCAGTCACCATATCATATGAACCACTAATAAGATATATAAAAGTATGCCGTGGATCCAATCTATATGATATTTAATATGCGTCAAATAAATATTAAATTTTAAATAATTGAATTTTATAATTTGTGCACTAATGTAAGAGTTGAATTTTAAATCATGGACTATATCAACTAGATACTATATCAGTGAGATATGAGTGTTGCAAAGTCTAAAGCTGGGATTAACCATGATCACCATATTTTATTGAAAGGCTAAGGTACCTCAGTGAGATATGAGTGTTGCAAAGTCTAAAGCTGGGATTAACCATGATCACCATATTTTATTGAAAGGCTAAAAGGTACCAAATTGGTCAATGTAATAGAGCTTCTTTTTCAAATCGTTCCCTCCATTTTTCTTTTTCTCAACTTAATCTCTATACCTCATGTTAGATGAAAAATTTCGATTAAAGAATCTATTAAATAAGAAATCTAAAGAACAATTCTACCATAAATCTATTTTTGCTTAAAAGATCTATTATGATTTCAGGGGTTAATTTCATGAGTGGTCACTATATTTATCTCATAATTTGATGTTCACACCTATTTTATAATTGTCTGGATGATTGATCATGTAATTAAGTACTAATCAGATCGTTGATCATTTCTAATGTTTTTTGCTAAGTAACATAAGAGATCTTCGATTGCATGTCAAAATAGTCTTGTTCATTTGACACAATAGATTTATTCCTATGTGTAATATCTTGAACACTTGTGGAAATGAAAATTGTGTTGTGTCGGTCAACTTGTATTGGATAATTATATGCATTTGATATTTTTTCTTGAAAATATTAACTTGTGATATACTGAGGAAACTATATTGTTTAAAAATAAGTGAATGTATACAACTGAAATTGTCAAAAAGCACTAGAAGTGACCAATGACCCTACTAGTATATAATTACATGTCAGCTATCCAAACAATTAAAATAGAGGTATGAACATCCAATTATGAGATGAATATAGTAAGCGGTGACCTAATCGAGATATGATTTATGTTAATTAATTTTGTTTCAATTCCTACCAAGATCAATTGGATCTTGGTCAGTGAAGGGCCAAATAAAAGCCCGACTTTTAGGGGCTATTTGGTTGGAGCAAACAAATAAAGAAAAGCGGTTTCCCTCTTTTATATGCCATTTTTCAACAACGATTTGGCTGAAATGTGCTGAAATCTATCACGTAACGTGAGCTTGGGGCTATTTTAGTGGAATTCGATATTTTCCATTGCTTTGAGAAATCAACTAGATAGACCCTAAGTTCTGCAGCTGTGTTTGAGCATGTTTGGGTACTACTTGTTTTATGGTTCTTTATAAGGTACTAATTAATCATTTTCACTTATTTCGTTAGAGGGTAAGATCATCTTTTAACATCTATAACTTAAGCTACCTATAAGATGCAAAAAAAAGTTGGAATCCCAATTTATTTTTTTCTCTACTTATAAGTTATAAATAAATAATAAATAAACCCATTACCAAACACAACATTTTATAATAAAAAAAGAGAAATTTATAAGTGACAATAAATAGGTTGCTAGATAATCCAGCGCGGGTTATTCGGACGGTTAAGTGGTCCTAGGGTCTTAGGTATTCTCGTCTACAGATTAAGGGGGTGTCTGGTTCAATTTCTACAAATTATATGAAATGTTTTTCACCTAAAATATGATTTCCGTGTATTTCTTAAAAAATTATAGAAAATATTTTGAGAAGTAAAAATATATCAATTTTATTGTTTTTTTTACTTTGCTTGTTTGGTTCAAAACAAGAAAATGACCCATAACTTTATAGAAAATAGCAAGATTTTCTATAATTTGTAAAAATTGAACCAAACACCCCCTAAATTTATAGAAAATTGTCAATATGGTGTCAGATTTCTAGGTGATTTCCGCCCATTTTGGGAGGAAATTTTTTCTGTAAAATTTGGTACTTTTCTGTACTTTACATAAAACATTTCTGTAAAATTTTTTTAAACCAAACACAGTTTACGAAAATCTATAGAAAATTTTTAGTAAAAAAATACCATTATCGATACTTTTGAAAAAACTTTTTTATAAAATTGTGCAACCATACACCCCTGAAAATCTATGAGCCCTGGGTTTTACGTTTAAACGGGGGCTCGATGTTTGGCTGCTACGACGAGATGGAGTTGATGTCTCCAAACCCTAGCTCCAGAACCTTAATCTCCATCAACCCAAATCTCCCCACTTTGCCTTCTCAAATTCAATGTCCACGATCTCTCCCCTTATCCCCGCCCCATTCAAGATCCGCCGTCAATCCAACACTCCTCCTCCGCCGCCGTAGCTTAGCTCTCCGGTGCTCCCCCAGCGAAGCCGCCGGCGACCCCCAAAATTCCAGCCCCCAGGTCTCCTCCTCCCATTATCAAAAATCAAATTTCATTTCTTTTTCCAACAGCTAGCAGCTTTACTGAATTCTTTGCTAATTTAGGACCAATCGAGCTCCAGAGTCAATTTCTGGACAAAATGGAAGGTAGTAATCGCTACCTTTTATGATTTATTTATTTATTTATTTCTGGTTAATTCTTTTAATGTAAAAATGAGATGAAAGTGATTGCGATCAGGTGGACAGTGCAGAGATGAGGTCGAGGATGGCGAAGCTAGGGCTTGCCGCTGTACTTGCTTATGGGCTGTTTGATGGAGTGACTTACACCACCTTCTTTGTTCTTGCATTTCTTGGATACGAGAAGAGCACGGGCAAGAATCCGGCAGCAAATCTCCAAGCTCTCTTAGGGGTAACCTCAGTCTCAGTTCAATTATTTATTCTTTTTAGTTGTTTAGTGTTTCATAGCTTGCAACTGTTATGAGCACAGCAGCTCAAAAAGTTAATAGGATAGTGCAGTGTCGGTTTGATCGGTAAAGACATGTTGGGATTTAGTTCCACATTGGAATGGCGGTTATGTGAGAGATTATTAAAATATGTTTGGCGTTATGACTTAATCAAAATTAAATTGTTAATCCTTTTACTCAATATCGGTAATAGATTATCGTTATCATCTCGTTTTGTGGGTATTTGCAACCTTAATACTAATCGATCTTTTCTCTAACCTCTGGTTGTATCTGGAAGACGAAGGGGGAGAAAAAAAAAAGTTAACCTCACATCTCCGAATAAGGTTTAGATCATATTCGATGAGGTCTAGTTCTTGTGGTCATTTCTCCATGGTGTCTTTTATTCTGCATAGTAGTTGCTAATTGTAATATCAGGATACTTGGATCAACAGCATTGATCTACCAGATGCAATATAAAGGGTTGTAAGTTTAAGTAAAACTAGGCAATTTCGATAGTTATGATTTCTTTGAGTTTGTGTGTCCTTATCACTGGGATCAAAACTCTTTTCCCTAATTATTTAGCTTGGGCTATAAGCCGATTGGCAATATCAGGACGTTAGGATCAATAGAGTCTAATGTAATCAATGCAAGATGAGTGGTTGTATGTTAGTAATGTTAGTCAATTTTGAATGCTTTCTTTAGAACTATGTATCCTTTGCCAAAATGGTTAGAATTTTTTCTCGCCATAAGGACTAGTTTGGCCTATATTAGCCTTCCTTTAAAAAAATTCTATAAAGGTTTCTTCAGATAGGAAGAGAAAACCTTTGAGAGATGATCCGGCTAAGTTTGAGAGAATTGGAGGGGACATTATAAATCCAAGGATTGTTGCTTCTGCTGTAAGGACTGCATCGTAAATTTAGATTACAAGAAGCAGGAGTCTGCTTGATATTTGACTCCATTATAAAACTATGATCTATCCAATGATTCAGTTTGATATTTGATATTTGGCTTTGTCAGTGCAGGGACAGCCTGGCTAAGTGTGTGATCTGTGCAGGTTTTGGTGGCATTCCTATGTTCTTTAAAATGCTTGGAATTTACTAGGAATTTCTTGACTAAGGGTTTCCTTATTGAGGCAAAAAGTGTAGTCCTCTTTGTCACAACTCGAAAAAGTTTAGTCCTCTCTGTCGCAACTCGAAAAAGCTTAGTCCTCTCTGTTGCAACTCAAAAAATGTTTAGTCTTCTCTGTCTTAACTCAAAAAAGCGTGGACAGATGTCAGCGTATCTATGCAAGCTGATTGGAATTTATTTACTGTGGAGCCTTGGCGAATGCTTATATGAGACGAAATTGACATGTTACATTTGGTACGATAATAAAGCTTGTTGTTTGGCATAGAGAGAGGTCACACGTAACTTAAGATGGGACATGTAAGGAAGATATGTATAAAGGTAGCTACAGGGAAAATATATGGCAAAAGGGAGCCTTCTATATATGTAGGAACATTCTGTTATCTTTTTCATAACTTTCTGTCTATTGCCTAGTTTCTTCATTCCTTCTTTTCGCAACCAATAGGTCTTAGCGTGTGGGTTAGTTTGGGTGATTTCCATATGCCAGTGGAACCATTGTAATTAGTTCACTGTGGTGGAGGGAACCCATGTGGTCTTTAGTCTTTACTGAATCCAAGCTGAATTCACACGTAAAGTTTTACTGTTGCCGGCATTTATACCATGAATTTCAGACGTTACAAACCCTCGTAGTTGATTCAAACTCATGGAACCTGTATCGCTGAAGTTTGCCTTATCAGCAAATTATTTTACTTGTTTGTATGAGAAGCTGAAATACTGCGACAATTTTTTTTGGATGTGACCACCTCCATAATTTCACCGTGGCAGGGAAGTATAGCCAGTGATGAAGCCAGGTTGAAGCCCAGCAAGGGCCACATTCATCCGGACCTATTTTTAAGAGAACTTATTAAGTTCTTCGTATCTAAATACTAATGACTTGGTCAAAAGAACATTTAGTCATGACAAGAAAGATTAATATGCTAAAGTGCTTGATTTTTGTTTTAATCCATGAGAATGTAAGGTCTGAATGACTTGCCCTGACCCCGAGCTACTGGCTAACAATCAACGATACATCTTCTTAAGTTGATTTACATAACTTCATTCATCAGATGTTTTTGTTTACCGTTGCGGCGTGGAAATTGCTAAAAATTTTCGATTACATTATGGCTAATTACTGCTTTGCTTAGATATTATGCTTAGCAATTTGTCACTTTAGAAAAAAATTACATTATTTCCCAGTTAAATTGTTTCATCATGAAATAAAAGCTTTCATGAAGATTTTGTAATCAAACAGATAGTTCTCTTGATGTGGACTGGAAACAATGTTACAAGACCATTCAGAGTTGCAGGAGCAGCTGCATTAGCACCTGTCATTGACAAAGAACTAAAGAGGATTCAGAAGAATTTGAATCTGCCGAGCCAAATCTTTGCCTTTGCACTTGTAGTAGTTATAATAGCTTCATCATGCTTCGCTGTCGTTGGTTTGCTCATCCTCTCAAGATGGGGAAAGTGAATGATGTCCACATTATGCTCAGAGATTACATGCTATCTAGCCTTGTAAGTTAGAAATTCAAACCATGTTTTGAATATAGAAAA